TCTGGTGCAAATTACTGACCTCTGTCATCATTTTAGGTGGGGGAACTTGCACAATCGGTGGCTGACTAAATACTTTTTTGCCCCACTGTACTTCTCACGTATCACTTATAATACAAATATAGGGAATTCTTTATAAGCCAGTGTTAATGTTGATATTATTTTAATTAGAGTATACGTTGTGATAGGAATACAGTTTATCCTACGTCATTAAACTTTTGGTTTGTCTGAAATGTCATCAACATTGTTTTGTTTAATAACATGCAAATAATGAATAATGAGAATAAAAAGTGATATTGAATTCTTTATGAGCATTCAAAGGCCAAATAATACAAGACAATGATGGAGCAGGTTTATCACATTTCATAGTAAATTTAAAGTTATAAAACTATTTGATATCATACCGACTGACAATATGTTTCTTTGACAAAGAAGAGGACAAGAAGTGACTTACTGTTGTTTAGTGAAACGAGATAAGCAGCATATAAACGGAAGTAAATTCCAGTGATGTAACAGAACTTATCATTAGGCAGGTTTTATGGCAAATGCATATGAACACATGGGAAATAATATTCTATGGGACCTACAACATACAATGCAAAAAGAAAGAAATTGAACGTTTTCTGCTAAAAGGTGATTAAAAAACAAGTTGAGTGCTTTGTGTTTAATGATATTTTTAAGAGATCTTCCCATACAGAAAAGAAATAGTAAAAACTTATATGTGATTACTCATGAAAGTGGCCACTTTCGCATTACTTTCATATATTGTTTTAGTAAGTATCCAAAACATACAAGTTTCATTATATAATTTTTCAAGGGATCTTATATCTGTTTTCACACATATGCTTTTCATACAAGTTTCACACAAGACAGATACAAACTTTATAAGATTTATATATATCTTTTCCATATGGGTTATTTCTTTTCCTTTTCTTTCCCTCTACTTTTTGATTCAGTTTAGACCAGTGTTTCCCAACCTTTTGGAGACATGACACATATTTCACATTAGGAAAATCACACAGGACACCAGCAAACAAAAATGTCACAAAAAGCATGTTGATAATTTTTCCCCGCACACCAGGTTCAGCAGAGTTGGCTCAGTTTGTCCGCAGTATATCTTTTTTGCCTTCTTTTGACCACTACTCATGCTAGGGCCTTCATCCTGTTTGGAATAGTGATGTGTCGGTCGCGAACAAAACGGCTCTTAGAGCCAACTTTTTGAAGTGAACGACGTGAGCCGTGTTTTTTTTTTTCTTTCTCTCACCCTCTCTCTCACACTTTTTTCCACTCCACTCCGCACGTCAGCCTTGTGCTTAGCGCTGGGAAAGCACAAGGCTCGCAGTAGCACAGGAACAGAGCGGGAGACAGAGAGAGAGAAAGAGAGCCAGGGACAACAACGTCACATTAGAAAGGTATAGTAATCATCCACAACTATTTTCAG